AAAAAAATTTTTTCCTTTTTCCCGAAAAAAAAGGGGGCCCAAAAAAAGGGGCCCCCCCAAAGAAAAAGGGCCCAGGGGTTGGGGGGGGGGGCCCGGTCCCCCCCCCTGAAGAGAGTTCAAAATCCTGGGGAATAAAAAGGGGGAAAAAAATAAATTCCCACCTCAGGGGGTTTAACCCCAGGGGGCCCGGCAAACTCCCGGCCCCCCAAACCCCGGCCCCCGAACCCCCTCGGGTCCTTTGGCCCCCTTGAGTGTTGGCTCTTCCACAAAATACTGACTTTCTATGCATGGGCCACGATGTTTCAATCCCACTGTACCTGCGCGCCCGCACGGGGTATTTTGTGGAAGAGCCACACTCAAGGGGCCAAAGAGCCGCATGTGGCTCGCGAGCCGCAGTTTGCCGACCATGGGTCTAGGCAGTGTGCCTGGGGATTATTTACCAACTTTGGGGAGTTGCTGAGGGAGGCCCCATCGCTTTCTGGGTCCTCTAGGCCTTCTACCCACCAAGGGGAGGTTGTCCAGGCAGGAGAGGCCTATCGGAGACTAGACTGTGGGGATGTTTCCCGGGAATATGCACACTCCTCCGTGTTGCAGTGATGGGGAAACTTTTCTTTCTGAATCTCTCTTGTGATTAGAGCCCAGGGAGATGGACTCTGGGCTGTGTTCTCTCGGAATACAGAGAGCTGGCCTAGCCAGTGCTGTCGGAATGGAATGTGTTAAGAACCACATGTGAAATGTAATGTTTTCTAGTGGCCACATTAAAAGAAGAGAAACAATTAATTTTAATAATATATGTTACTTAACCCAATATATCCAACATATTATCATTTTATCATTTCAAAATGTAATTGATATTAATGAGAGAGTCTTCTTTTAATACTACATCTTTGAAATTCAGTGAGTATTTTACACTCACAGCACATTGCAAATCAGACACTAAATTTTCAGTGGTTAAATGAAAATGTTTGTAGTCTACCCCAAACAGTAAAGTTTTGTTTAATAGAAAAATATTTGACACTGCTTTAGTTTTTTTTTTTAAAAAAACAACAAATTAGATTCAGTCTATCACTAATGGAAAGCATACCCATTTCTTTTTAAAAAAAAATATTTTATTGATTTTTTACAGAGAGGAAGAGAGAGGGATAGAGTTAGAAACATGAGAGAGAAATATCGATCAGCTGCTTCCTGCACACCTCCTACTGGGGATGTGCACACAACCTAGGTACATGCCCTTGACGGGAAACGAACCTGGGACCCTTCAGTCTGCAGGCCAACGCTCTATCCACTGAGCCAAACCGGTTAGGGCACTGCTTCAGTTTTTAACTTTAAATTTACTGAAACTAGCCCAGCCAGTGTGTTTCAGTGGTTGAGTATCAACTCATGAACCACAGAGGTCACGGTTCAATTCCTGGTCAGGGCACATGCCTGGGTTGTGGGCTACATCACCGGTGGGGGGCATGCAGGAGGCAGCTGATCAATGATTCTCTCTCATCAATTATGTTTCTATCGCTCTCTTCCTCTCTCTGAAATCAACAAAAACATATTTTAAAAAATTTACTAAAGCTAAATAAAATTACAAATTCAGTTTTTCCATCTCATTAGCCATGTTTCAAGCACTCAGGTGACTACCATAGTGGACAGCACAGGCCTAGGCCAAGGTTATTTACACACACACACATACACACACACACACACACACACATTCACACACACACACATACACATTCACACACACACACACATACACACACACACACAAATATATATAAACAGTGATGGACACACTGCCACCCATTCATTCAACAACAATCGTCATATGTCGTCTTTGTGTTTGTGTTAGGTTCTGGGAAAATAAAAATGATGACGTGTGGTCTTTGATCTCAAGGAGCTCAGGCAAACAAAGAAAAGAGGATAAAGAAACACACAAAATAAATAATCTCAATATTAGGTGATGAGTCTTGTGGTCAATGTACATGCAGAGTGTTTGGGAGAACAGGCAATGTCCAGCTGCACTTACTGTTACTTATACTTTGGCATCAATAGCAACAATAACAGAGTTACTTTTAACGAAGCACCAACTCTGACCCAAACCCTGGGCTCGGTGCATTATATGCATTTCCGCATTTAATTTTCACAACAGTCTGCCTGGTCTGTACTAGTGAGACTTTGCAGATGAAGCTGGGGTTTACAATGGCTAAGAAGTTGTCCAAGGTACCAGAATAATACACTGTAGAGTTGAAATTCAAACCTGGGTAACTGTGTACAGTGACAGATGGTTACTAGACTTACTCTGGTGATTACT